TTTCAAACAAAGACACTTTGATCGTGATCAAAGTGTCTTTGTTTGAAGCTGCAGTAGTTGCACATACTTGCAACACTTCTGCTTCTTTGTGTATGTATTATTTCAGAAAATGAAGTGTATGTGTTGGAGTGACAGTGAGTACCTATCACAGACTACAGCTGTAAAACGTGTTTGTGGTGTTGACAGGACTTTTTACTCAGCACTACTCCCAAATACCAGATAACACTGTGAATGTTCTCTAAAATAAACAGCATAAATCTTACTTGTTGAAAGGGAAGGAGAAATGTGGCATCACCATAGACGACCACAGCAGGACACCCATGAGCATTGTTGGCACACTGCTGAGAAATCTGCAAAATCATCAAAATGCATTACGATAGTGAAATTCATTGTGTAATTCCCACAATATATCACCAAACTCTATCACTTTCACAGCAAGTTTCTCAAATTAAAGTCACATCCCTTCCCATGCTAACAGTGCTGTATGTGAAGGAAATGCTAACAGTGCTAATCTTTCAGACGAACACAAACTCATCTCTGATTCAATCAATTCACCAAGTCAATCTGCATCCCAATACAGTGACTTCCTAAACTGCAATATTCCATATGTTTTACCATATACTGTTACAGGTATGTTTATTTCAGCTTGTCAAAACTTACCTGCTGCGTTCGACCAGAGGTTGTCATTTTGCCGTGTCACAGTCATGTGTGGTAGGACGCACCGGCGTGATGGCGTCAGATCACGTGAGCGTTACGCGTTTTTATGCAACAGTATATTAACTAATGCACAGCAGTGTTGAGAATGTCAAACTGCTTTTTAAATAATTACATGGAACCCTTTGTTTACTGAGTTATAGCTGATAACTGTTTCTTACTTGAGTCAGGTTTTGTTATTATTATCACAGAAAGAAGAATCTCAGAATCAGTTTATTTCACCAACTAAAACAGAAATCTTTTTTGAAACTACACTCACTGTGAAAAGTTAACAGCAGCTCTTTCCCTCTATAAAAAAACACAATTCCTTGGTGTTGAATGCACTTTTTACGCAGCACCCAATCCCATCCCGTCTCCCTGGACGTCTCCCCTTTGTCGTAACAACAGTTTGTTCTAACAGAGAGTTAGAGCTTGTTGGGTTCAAAGTGACCCAAAACATATGTAACATTAGCATGTATGACAAACATACTATATCTTTCTTTTTCTGTACATGATTTTAGGCAAAATATGACCCACCTCTTTTCCTGGGATCCTTGTACAAAACGTTGTTTAGAATTTCCCTTTGTTCACATTGGCCTGCTTTTGTCCACTGCCTCAGAGAGACAGACAAGTAACGTCTCAACATGGTGGTTGGGATTCTGGTTCATACTACCTAGACTTGTTCACTCCCTAAACAGAGTATCACAATGATCTGATTTGTAAATGACACACCTTCACAAACTTGCCTCCATTGCACAACTCAAATTCCAAAGATATGCAAAACAGTCTATTTCGTTTGTCCCAAGGCAAAAAAAAACCAGCCCTACAATGGCTGTGAGAATCAATACACTGCACGTTAGGAAAAACACAAAAACAAGCAAATTAAGAAAACTTCTTTACCAATTTGACAACACGTGCTTTGAAAAAAGGCTGCAAACTGAGAAAACACAACTAAATAAAGAAATGCTGCAAAAGACATCAGAGATTCCAGTGTTGCTAAAACATGTTGAGCCCAGCATATGCCAACCATGTCCTTGCATGTTCAGGCAGGTTATGATCAGGATATAAAAGACTTGAGATCAACAATATGCTGACTGCTAGTGGGAGACATGATTTGAATTGTGGGCTCCACCCTGATCTTTAGTAAAGTACAACCTTTGGAGAAACAGAGGCAAAAGCTGTTGTATCCAAACCAAGCAGCAACCACCAAGGCTAAAAATGGCCACTTGAGGCCGGCTTCAGAAGTGAGTCAATCCTCAAAGACTCCCATGTTAAAATGTTTCCCATGTATTACTTTACAGCAGAAATAAAAAGGGGTGTAAATTACCAGTTTTATCACGATAAGATATTATATCGTTTATATGGAAAATGATACGGTATTTGCCAATATAACAAAGTCTGCCACGATACGATTCGATGCGATTCAGGCGCCTGTGATCAATATAAGAAGATATTATCTGCCCATATAATGCAAGCAGTTACAGAAGAAGCTGACACCTTTTTCTTTCCTGCTTTTGGCCATAAAAGATTAAAACCACACATAATGTAAATAACTGTAACTGCTAAAGTGCAGTAAATTTTACTTTAAACTGACTCCACTAACACATAAAACAGCTAAGTTAACCATCAGGGCTTTGTGTCAGAGAGCCCCTTCTGGGAGAAATATTTTCATGATAATCCAAACCATGATCTTTTTCTGAAAACTATCTGGCTTAAAGCTCTGAAGTCAAACTTCTCCCAGCAGCCATAAAACATGGATTAATAACAAGATCATTTAACAAAAATATAAAATTCAGCTGTTTTTTGCTGGTCACACATTTTAACTTCAGCATGTTTACATTGCATAAATTAGCCCAGCAGCTAGCAGACTTTTTTCCCCCCTACTCATAGCTTAACAAATTACTTTTAACTTTATTTTTTGTAATCACTGTTGGCTTAAATTGCTGCATCTCCCGACAGATTAGATTAACCTTGAGCTGACAATATTATAATATATATAATATATATATATATATCGATAGTTTCACTTTGCATCGATGAAACTGGATCACTGATCATCGAATCGATATGTCGATCCACATCAATGGATCATTACACCCCTAGAAATAAACAAGTTACGCATAATTAAGGGTGGGCCACTCTGAGTGACTGGCTGTCTGCGGATACTTGACTCGTTTGAGATGAACTGCGCCTCGCCTGGAAAGTGGACAAGATCAGGCGGCTGCAGCAGGGGGTGGTGACAAAAAGTTGTGGTCAAGTCAGACAGTTTCCAGCAGCCTTCAGTCTGTACAGTAAGTCAATGAAACACTCACATCCTGTTAGGACTGATGCTGATTTATTAAAAATGTTATCAGACTCACATATCTGTTTGTTCTGTTTGTTATTATAGAGCAACCTATTGAAATGCTTTACAGGCGATTTGTAATTTATGTTCAGACTTTGTACATGGGGTGCCAGCCCTACCAGGTGAGCTACTGTGTGCTGTATGCCCAGCTTACATGTTGTGTCACTGTGGCGAGTGCAGTTTTACACAGGCAATTGAAGGGCAGCTAAATATGGTGTAGTGTAATTAGCACATTGTGACAGATTATATTACAATGTAGATTTCAAAGAAAGGCCTCTGACACTGTTGGTATGCCAAGCAAAATTTATTATTGTTTTAACAGAAGGATCTGTACAAGGATACTTTTTTATGCTGCTGGTGAAAACTGAGAAACACAGATTGAAAACAGGGAGACAGCTAGCTTTGTTTTGGTTTTTTGAGTCTCTGTTGCCTAATAAATACTCTCAGTAAAGAAATAAGACAGCACATAAAATTCTGGTTTGTATTTCCCGCTTTGGGCCAGCAACAGCTATACATAAATATATAAATAATCCCTATTACAAGAACTCACATTAGCCAGTAATTGTAGCAACTGCATATTATCACAATGTAAACTAAGCACAAAAAATAAGGAAAGTTGTGTAAATAAGATAAAGATCGCATAGCAGGATCTGCTATTGTTGGTACATTATTTCTTTGTTCTAACAATGCTTCTTGGCAAAAAAAATCTTATACTGTTGGAAAGCCTGTTTATTTCCCTTTTAAACTGTGCCACATTTGTAAGGAACATGCATTTGTGGGATGAGCAGCAGAGCTGAGTATGTGGGCTGTGCCCATGAAAAAAATTGGTAAATCTTCTCTGCCAATGCCAAATAGCATTTTTTTTTTATGTTGACTCTTGTTTTGAGCTTCTGGTACCCCCAGGTGATTGGCACCTGATTGTCAGCACCTGTGAGCATGGGCACTGCTACAGTGGTCAGTTGGTGTCTACTCCAACAATCGGCATGCCACATTTGACTGTTCTGGATAGGGCCCGTGCTATAGGGCAACTTCAAGCTGGTGTTTCGCAAAACCAAGTTGCAGCATTATTTGGAGTGAGCCCTAGTACCATCTGCAAACTGAAGGCCAAGTTCTATATAACAGGGGATGTCAGAAACAGGCCGCAAAGTGGGCGTCCCAAGAAGACGGCACCCCAAGAAGACTGTTTTCTCATCCTGTCAGCACTCAGAAACCATATGCAGTCTTATACAGATTTGCAGTCAGGGTTTGCAGGACTATATGGCCGATGGCTCTCTGCTCAGACAATCCGGAACAGACTGCATGCAGCCAATCTCTGGTCTCATAGGGCTGCCAGGAGGCTTGCCATGACTGCCCTTCACCGCCAGGCCCGTTTGCGCTGGTGTTGGCAATATGTGCACTGGAACCTGAACATGTGGAGGAACATTATGTTCAGCGATGAGTGCAGATTCTGCCAACAGCAGTTGGATCGTAGGGTCAAAGTGTGGAGAAGACGCGGAGAACGCTTTGCTGATTGCTGCATGGATAGAGTAACATCTTTTGGCGGAGGCAGTGTGATGGTGTGGGGCGACATCTCCCTCACTGGCAAAACAAGGTTTGTCATCATTGGAGGCAATCTCAATGCAGAGAGATATCGGGATGAAATTCTGCAACCAGTGGCAATCCCATATCTCCACAGTCTGGGACCGAACTCTATCCTCCAGGATGACAATTCTCGCCCCCACAGAGCGGAATTTATCAGAGACCATCACAACAATGGTGGGTGGCTTGCGACAAATGCTGGTTTAAAAATGGGATGCCATCCCACAACAGTGTGTGACCAGGCTGGTGACCAACATGAGGAGGAGGTGTTAGGCTGTTGTGGCTGTGTATGGTTCTTCCACACGCTACTGAGGCTCCTGTTTGTTAAATTAATAAATTGTTAAATTGCCAATATGTCTTGTTTCTTCAGACTTCAATCACCCAATCCACCAAACAAAACCAAACAAGAGTCAACAGCAAAAACAAAAAAGCTGTTTGGCATTGGCAGAGCCGATTTGGCAAATTTTACATGGGTGCAAGCCACATACTCAGCTCTGCTGCTCATCCGACAAATGCATGTTCCTTACAAATGTGGCACCATTTAAAAGGGATATAAACAACCTTTCCAAGATTTATTTCCAACAAGCATTGTTTCAACAAAGAAATAATCTACCAAACACAAATTTCATTACTTTTTGTGCTTAGTTTAGAACATTCCACTGATGTCCTGAGAAAAAAAAATGTAAACAATAACAATACATACATAACTGAATTATCATAAAGCTTTGAAAACAGGAAAAATGCACGGAAAGCCACAGGTCCTAATGAAATGGTAGGGTGCTGAAACACTGTGCTTACCAACAAACTCAAGTGCTGAATAACATTTTCACTGTCACATGATGGATCAGCAGCAATATGCACCCAACCCAATAGATCTACAGACAATGCTGTCGCTACATTACTATGTACAGTACTAAGCCATTGGTCCTCTTCTTTTCTTCTTCTTCAGTCAGCTCTTTCACCCTCCTTTAGACTGTGGGAGACACAACAGAGAAGTTTAGAATGACTGATATTATGATAATTCAAATACTTAACTGTGTACTTTGAGTCTGTATTTGCTAATCTGTAGATTGATGGATCTCTTTCCTTTCTTTTCTTTCCTGTTTTTTTTTTTACCTGGCTGGTGAATTATTAGCAGTATGCAGAGGATCCCAGTCTGTGTCCTCTACGTCTCCATCGTCAGAGTTAGCAGGTTGGAAAGGTGGCACAGAACTACAGTAAAAAAGTTGCACAGAGAGATAAGTGACATTAACAGGTATGAATTGTAATATAAGTTAATTCATACAATGCATGTACAAAGTGCACAAGTTAAATCACATTAACTCTTGCTATGACAGATGCTGCTATCAGAAACATGAGTGGTAACACAATTGATCTTTCACTACGCCCGCCCCTTTGTGATGGTACAAGCTGTCAGAGTAAGCATGGACACTGTAACTACCTGCACTTCAGTCTTCAGTTAAAACATTATGCATTTCAGGTGGTGTAATGATCTTTGACATACACAGTAAAAAAATATTAGCCTGTGACTGTTTTTACCTGGCTAGTGAATAACTGTAAGTCTGTGGAGGATCCAAATCCGTGTCCTCCACGTCTCCATCATTAGAGGAGACAGGCTGGAAAGGTCGCACAGAGCTACTGTAAAAAAGTTGCACAGAGAGATACATAAATCAGACAAGTTAAGTCTTTAGTCTTAACAAATATTGTCTGGTATATTACTAAAGTAAGTTGAGTCCACACATGGCATGTACAAAGTGTACAGAGAAACATGAGCGGTAAGACAATTAAAGCATTAGGCATCCAGGTGCTATAACAGTCTGTGACATGAAGAGTAAAGACATCCTCAGTTGATAAATAATAGTGCTTAAGACATTTTATCAATTTAAATTTGGGACTATTCATATCTTGCACTGCACTGTAGCTGCACCATAATTTTGATTATACTTTGTGATATGTCTTCATATGAGCCTATTTTAACTTTCTAGTTTACTTTGGTGTATTCCTCACATAAAGGACTTTAAATTTCCTAACCTGTAAGGGCCTTGTCCATCACCAAAAAGAGTCCAGCCTATAGCACCCTGAAAACAAAACACATGACATGCACTGCATAAAAATTGATTATGTAAGAGTGTGTATTTAAACAGAATAAGATTCTACACTTCAAATGAAATGGTATAATTCTTACTCGTGGAGACGGAACTGGAAATGTTTGATTGCCATAGACGATCACACCACAGAACCCGTCAGCATTGTCCACGCACTGGATGGAAATCTGCAGTATCATCAAAAATGTATAACGATGATGAATTGTATCATGAAATTTCCATATTACGACACCAAACTGTAACACTTTAACAGCACATTTCTTAAATGCATGTTGAATTCCTCCACATGCTAACAGTGCTACAGGAAGAGGAAATTCTAGCAATGCGGCGCTGTTTCGGAAAAACACACTCGACTCTGATTCAATCAATTCACTAAGTCGATCCACATCCAAATACAGACAGTAACTTCCTTAACTGCAGTACTTCCACATATTTTACCTAAAACGTGTACAGATGTGTTAATTTTAGCCTGTGTAAACTTACACGCTGTGTTTCACTGAAGGACGCCATTTTGCACTCTGTTCCCTGTTCAAATGAATGGTATGTCACACCAGCGTGGTGGCGTCAGACCACGTGACTGTTATGTGTTTTATGCAATATTGTAATAATTAATGTTTTGTTGTTTTTATCACACAAAGAAGAATCTTTTATTTACTTATCTTGCCAACAAAAACATGATTCATTTTCAAAACAACACTAACTGTGGAGATATCTGAGGTTTCTACCGTTTTTTTGAGGTTTCTACCGTTTTTTGAGGTTTCTACCGTTTTTTTTCCCCCGTTAAAGGGTTTTTTTGGGGGGAGTTTTTCCTTAACCGCTGCGAGGGTCATAAGGACAGAGGGATGTCGTATGCTGTAAAGCCCTGTGAGGCAAATTGTGATTTGTGATATTGGGCTTTATAAATAAAATTGAAAATTGAATTGAATATCATGGTACCTTTCTCCCTCCAAAAAATACCAAAACTACTTGATGATGACAGCACTGTTAACGTAGCACTACTTCTCCTAAATCCCACTTATTAAACTTTTCTTATTGAAGTTTTTTTAACAATTTGTTCATAAAAGGTCCAACAGAGAGTGAGAGTTCTTTGGGTTCTACTTGACCAAAATATCAACATACTATATATCAGTGGCGGCTGCTGGTCTTTCAAACCGGGGAAGCTCATTTTAAATTTACATCATAAAATCTGTCATATTGTAGCGAGGCAGTAACTTATAAAAGGAACACTTAATTGAAGCCGTTTTTCAACCACACTCATGCCATAGAACCACAGCAAAACACATCTCCAAGGTTTTCAGATGGGTTTAACGGTGAAAATGAGCTATATCGCTTATGGAAATAAGGAACTCCGGACGGCACTCTGCCAGGAGACTCCACTCGCCGATGCCGGTGTATATTTCCAAAGCGCTGTCAATCACAAAGGGGTTCAGCCTTTTAGACAATTCCGCCAATCAGCATGCAGACACCAAGCGTCCTCTCCCGCCTACCGCTCCACGGAAGCTGAGCCTCCCAGGAAGTGACGATTTTGTCTCATTTATCCAATGACCATCTCGCTTTGCTGCATGAAAAAAACCCTGCTCAGCACTGTCTCATAGGAATGCTTGGAGGCTCCGCGCCCACTGTGCTGACACGAGAATGTATAACAGGGAGGTCGCGTTTGAAAACTGGTGATAAACAGCTGACGTTTGAACATCATAGTCATAATGTCATCCTAGCGCACGTTTAATGCAATGTAAATTCTTATTTTAATGTAAATTCAATAATTCAATAGTGCATATTTGACCATTTCTTCTATGAAATCTTAGGGGAAGTTCAGCCTCCCTTTGTCTGTCTGTCTGTCTGTCAGTCTATCTATCTGTCCATCTGTCTGTCTGTATATCAATCTGTCTATCTGTCTGTCTGTCTATCTGTCTCTATCTATCTGTCCATCTGTCTGTCTGTCTGTCTGTCTGTATATCTATCTGTCTCTATCTATCTGTCTGTCTGTCTGTCTATCTATCTATCTATCTATCTATCTATCTGTCTGTCTATCTATGTATCTTACCTCTTGTCTTGAGATCGTTGTGCAGAACGTAAATTAGATATTCCCTCCGTTCATGTTGGTCTGCTTTGGTCCGCTGTCTCAACTGAGAGACAGAGAAGTAATGACTCTACTTGCCTGCTGAAATTCTGATTCATACCATCGAGACTCCTCCAGTCCCTAAATAGAGGATTTAAAAAAACTGTCTTGGAAGTAATGACATCAACTCTGGAAATACTTTCCTTATGAAGCCTGTTTCAGTTCTCCATTCCCAGAAACTCCACCTCTTTGACCTCTAGAGCACGATGTACTGAACCTCAAAGGGTAACTTCAGCATTTTTCAATCAGGACCCTGTTTTCCCTATGTTTCTGTCTTACTCACTGATGTGAACAACATTTTTTAGTAGTTTAATCACAGTAAGCAGATGACAGGCTACAGATCACAGTGTAAAAGTGAACCACCACATCACTGCTGATCGCCACAGAAGACAATGAATGTAAAGGAAAACTTTGCTGATATTGAACCAGCTGTGTGGCATTGCAGTGTGTGTAGATGAACGGTGTTTGGCTTCACCCTGGACCTCCGCTGCTGGACGGGCAGGGATCTCTGGGGGAAATCAAACAACGTTCATTCAGCTGGTTGAATATCAGCAGAGTTTCCCTGCCTCTGGGGGCGGGACTTAGCCAAGGGTCAATTGTAGAGCAGATGGGGAGAGAAAGAAAGGGGGACAGCAGGCAGTGGAGGGTAAACCAGCTGCTGAGGGTGGTGTTACTGTGGGGCTGTGACCCTGTGCCCACAGAGGAAGAGTGCCTATGTTGTAAAGAATGTGACTTGTTGCTGCTCGATTGTGGTAGTCTTGATATGTCCAGGGATCATACCTTGTACAAAGGACAATGTTGTGTCACCATGTGAGAGGATTTCCCCTCTCTGATCAACAGGGCTGTGCTGGAGACATTCTTTTATGCGCCCAGAATAAACATAAGATTTTAGAACGAGACTTCTCCTTGAGCGAGACTTAGGTACACTAAGAAACAGACTGGATTGAGAAAAAGGCAAAAAGATACTTCAAACACTTGAAATAACAACCTGAGCCTGTGTGCAGTAAAAATAACCACTTTAATAGACACACATTAGGCCCGTTTCCACTGAAGAAGTTCCTGGTACTATTTGGGGGGCAGGAACTACTACAGGAACATCCTCTCGCTCGGCCCTCTGAACCGCCGTGTCTCCACTGAGAGCGGAGTAGGAGGAAGGTTCCTGTAAAGTTACCGGACTCTGGATGTGACATAATCGTTGCGCGACCGGACGTAGTTAGCTGTTAGCCATTAGCGGTGTCTGTATTAACTCAATAACTCAATAAATGGTCCGTGAAAAAAATATTTTTTCCAGCGGATGTCTTAGTTACAACATGATTGAGCTANATTAGCGGTGTCTGTATTAACTCAATAACTCAATAAATGGTCCGTGAAAAAAATATTTTTTCCAGCGGATGTCTTAGTTACAACATGATTGAGCTAACTGGAGTATTTTCATGTCTTATCCGACAATGGGAGGCTTTTAACAGATGACGTCCTGATGTTAGCTTTGCTGCTGCTGTTAGCTGTCCCTGTCAGCTGATGCTTTCTAGACATCGTGATTTCCTAAAACTGAATAAATACCACACATAGCAACACAAAACTGCTTTGCTAGCTCAATCATGTTGTAACTAAGATATCCGCTGGAAAAAAATTTTTTTTCACGGACCGTATATTGAGTTAATGACTTAATACAGACACCGCTAACGGCTAACAGCTAACGGTTAGCCCAGCTAATCCACAGTAACCATAGTAATTACAAAACGTCACATCCTGCCTTGAGTATATCCAATCAGCACCAAGTAATCCCCAAGTCCCAGCCAGGAGTCTCTCGGGGCCGTTCTGAGTACCTACTCCAAGGCAGGGACTTGTTTAGCCCCTGTAAAAGTTCCGGAACTCTGTCCTTCGGGGGCAATCTGGAAATCCATCGGTAAAAAAAAAAAAAAACAAAACTTTTTTTTTTTCTTCCTTTACCTCTGGAGGCACAGCCCGGAGTTTTTCGACTAACGGAAGTGCAGGGGCCTCGGCGATCACTCATGCCCTTCACTTCCGGCGGTGCCCCCAGGGAATCGCTGGGTAGAAAACCAGCAGAGTTTAGCTATATATCACATTTTTCACGTCACTATATCACCGTGTAGACTAATCTGATGTTTGTAAAGTCTATAAACACAATGACTGAACAAACGTTACTATTTCTGTGTGCACGTTTTGTAAATAACATGGTTATCGTAGATTAGCTGGGCTAACCGTTAGCTGTTAACGTTAGCCGTTAGCGGTGTCTGTAATAACCATAGACTGTATAAAAATAAGGTATTAACTCAATAAACGGTCCGTGAATAAAATATTTTTTTCAGCGGTTATCTTAGTTACAATATGATTGAGCTAGCAAAGCAGTTTTGTGTTGCTATGTGTGGTATTTATTAAGTTATGGGAAATCACGATGTCTAGAAAGCATCAGTGGCTCCAGCTGACAGGGACAGTTAGCAAAGCTAACATCAGGATGTCATCTGTTGAAAGCCTCCCGTTATCAGATTACGACATGAAACTACTTCAGTTAGCTCAATCATGTTGTAACTAAGACATCCGCTGGAAAAAAAAAAAAATTTTCACGTTGACAAGATGGCGTTTTGGGTGGAGCGGTCACTATGGACCCAGAGCTTGCTGTTTCTGTAGGTACACATTTCCTGGGGACACCTGCACTTCTTGGTCACGCCCCCTCCATTGTGATTGGCTAAAGCGCAGCATCGTTCAAACTCAAAGCCCCGCCCTCCTCCCCTCCGTAGTTGTCTTTCAGACAGGGCTGCCGACAGATTCTACAATGTAAATTGCAGAATCTGTCTTGAGAGATTACTTCGGGGGTGGTTCCTGTGGTGGAGACACGCACAAACGGCCCCGGCCCCGTAAAATTACCCCAAAGTTCCTGCGGTGGAAACGGGCCTATTGACGGTGCACTATTGCCCCATCTGGTTACATCGGGGGTGTTTCACAGCATGTAAACAAAAAACAAGAAAATTTAATCTGTTGAATGTTGAAGTTACACTCTGTCCTTCCTGACCCTCAGCGAGATACAGCCTTCAGAGAACTGGAGGTAAAAGCTTTTGTATCTAAACTAAACTTTCTTAATGTAGTTTGAATTAATGATGTTGAAATTATAAAACATTCTCACTCCGATCACGTCACATTTGGTCACAGACTTTCAACACTGAGATATGATGTGCAAGGTATGTTGGTTGTTGACCTTCTCTGACACTGTGTCAACTTTAGCCTCTTACATGCATTGTCTGTTTTCAAAGGAAATGTACAGTTTGCATCCAGTCTCTTTTAAAATAAATGCACCAAGTCGGCACAACACTGTGACTTGACGTTTTTTTTCCTTTGACAACAAAAGCACGTGGTTGAGTTTAGAAAAAAATAATAGGGCATAACGTTACATACATATGGAAAGTGAACGCTGGCTCTCGAGTGAAAGTCGGTGGTTGTTGGACCCATCCAACACCCCTTTCACCCGCCCTACTTGGTCTTTCACCCCCTTATTGTTGTCTGGCTGGGTTTCCCCCTAACAATGCCAGGCGCCGCTACAGAATAACAGTGACTGGCGGCATAACATGCCAACATGAAAGGATGGCTTTTTAAGGTGGTGTCTGACACTGGAAGTCACTGACTAAGTGCTAGTATTCGACGACTTCACAGTGACACCAAGTTGCAAATGACTGTTTTTAAGAAGATAATTATTGATAATGCCTTCCTTTAAGATGCAGTCAGACAAATATGGTGGTCAGTTGACCAATATATCAGCTGCTCGCAGATTACTCAATATTCTTTCCTGTTCAAACTGAATCTAAAAATTGTGAAACTGCCATTAGTGGGAGGATGTCATGAGATTTGAGAAATTTGGTGTTGTAATTTGTGCATACTCCCATTTGTGTTGTAATTTAACCCACTCCTTTGAAAGTGGTTTCTTTCATTATTGTTAACACTCACACCTTGATTTGACACACCAGTACATCCATTTTGATCATTAATTCATAGGAAATGTTGAGAGTGTGCGTAACTGTAATTGTGTATCTGTCATGATCCTGGGATTTTGTTCATGTTTTGTCGTTGTGTTTTCTGTTTGTTTTCTTCCGTGTTTTATGTTGTTCATTTATGTTTAATCTGCTTCCTGTTTTATTTTGTAGATTCTCTCCTCATGTGTCGTGTCTGGTTTCACTTCCTGTCTCTTGTCTCCTCCCACTGTTTTCTATCACACCTGTCTTCCACCAGTCTCGTTAGTCCTTCCCTGTTCCCAGAGTCTTCCCTTCACACCTGTTCTATATTAGTCTTGTTTGGTCCTCCTACTACAGCTGTGTCTCGTTCTTGTGATTGGGTTTCTGTGTACATATACCTGTGTGTATCCCTTCGTTCGATTTCAGTTCTCTGTTCATGGAATCGTTCCCTGCTCTTTTTCCTGCCTGTTTTGTGTTTTTTTCCCCCTGAGTTCATCGTGTTATCCCGGTTGGTTTTCTTTTGGACTTCCTGTTACCTGCCTGTTTTTGGATGTTTTTATCAGCTGCATTAAAGCTCACCTTTTGTTGCCTACTATTCTATATCTCTCCTATAAAGGAGAGGAACGACAAGTACGACAAACAAAATGTATTATGTTGCTTTGATATCTGAACACAGGGCCCTTCTGTGTGGAGTTTGCATGTTCTTTCTGTGTCAGCGTGGGTTTTCTCCAGGTGCTCCGGCTTCCTCCCACAGTCCAAAGACATGCAGGTTAATTGGTGACTCTAAATTGTCCGTAGGTGTGAATGTGAGTGTGAATGGTTGTCTGTCTCTATGTGTCAGCCCTGTGATAGTCTGGTGACCTGTCCAGGGTGAACCCTGCCTCTTGCCTAATGTCAGCTGGGATCCTAACAGGATAAGCAGTTACAGAAAATGAAAGTAAGAATGAATAATACACATTCCATGATCAAAAAGGAGCAGGGAGAAGAAAACAACCTTATTTTACCTGCCCCTCCCTCAAAGCACATAAGAAGAAATAGATGGTGTGTCAGTTACAGTTAATAACCAATACTTACAGTTACTTCAGAAAGACACAGAAATAAATAAATT